TGCTAATGTTAAGAAATGAGGTTTGTGGTAAAATGTTATAAGAAGACCGCTTGTTGGTCATTTCTTCATGACCCATAAATTTGAGTTTGTCTTTACTTACAAAGTTCTGTTAATTTACACATTACACATTAGAATAATTCGGCATCCAGCGGGTTAAACAAATATGCACACACACACACACACACACACACACACACACACACACACACACACACACACACACACACACACACTGAAGTGAGAACCGAAAGCGAAATGAGTCCAAGGGGAAGAACTCTTGATTGTAGATGTCTCCTGTCACGAAGAATGAATCTGTAGAAGCATCCATAAAAGGTTGCACCTGTTTTTGATACATTTGATACATTTGATGAAATACTATCGATTGTACTAAACATAAACGCCACTAGGATCATGTCAATTTATTAATTGCAAAAAAAAGAAGTTAGTGAATACTTGAGATTTACAAAATGATAATCATCTCATTGTGTGCCCGTGAACATATCCAAATAGCCAGACATTTCACAATTTGGCTGAATTTGGTTTTAACATTTTTAATTAAATTAAATTTGATTTAATGTGAAAGTGTGAGTCGATCTTAAACTTTAATACAAATAGGTTAGTCGTCGAGAAAAGAAGGAAGATTTTTTAAAATTTTATCACAATACAGTAAACTACGGTTATAACGAACATGCTTATAACGAACTGACGGATATAACGAACTTACTTTTTAGTCCCGACTATTTGCTGTAGTTATGCTGTATATATGCTTATAACGAACTACGGTTATAACGAACTAAAAATAGTAGTCCCTTTGAGTTCGTTATAACCGTAGTTTACTGTAATAACATTTGTCACAATATGATGTTCAAGATGGCAAATGCTTTTGCCTGAAAAACGTGTTAGAACAATGTTCCAAGCACTCAAATAAAAGACGACTTGCATCCTTTTCGATGTTATTCGAATGCTTGGTCGACTCATACATATGGTGGCATATCGTACTATCACCTTGTCGCGATATCATGTAGATATCTTAGGGCAATAGAGCCATGTCCCTTCTGAGCCACCATACATATATGTAGTAAATCACATAGCATGCGGCTCCATGTATATTCAACAAATTGTTCAAATTCAACAAAAGAGTATATACATTTCTTTCTTTTCTTAACACCTCGTTTATGTGTTGATAAGCCTGCATTTTAGTGACTAAAAGTAGAGTATAAAATTGACGAATCAAGTGTTTTGACAGAATTGAACTTGTTAACCCTGCGATTCTCTTAGTTGCCTCTGATAACAAGCATAGTCGCATTTTAGGGCAAGCATGGGTTACTGAAGACCTATTCTGACCCGGATCGTCACAGGTCAACAATTAATTTATGTTATGGTTTGTCTTATTTGAGTCCTTGTTGTAGAAACGAAACGTCAAAGTTGTTACAACGTTGTAACAACGTTGCCACAACGTAGAATTATTTGCTGGGACGCCATGTCACTTAGAACAACTACAAACGTTTCCTGTCGGGCAGCCAGACTGTGCATGACAGCTGGCTTTCACAGAGAGGGCTTATTCAAATTCTGTTTCTCTTTTTCAGTTTGTGATTTCTACCAGTGACAATATGAGGCACTTCTTTAACCAAGACACTCAAAAGGTTCCTCTTTTGTGGCCCACGTTTTGGCATATGCTCAAATTCACTGCTTTGCAAATTTCAAATTCAAGAACGGGTTGTCTTTGTCTGATTTAGTGATGTCTGTTTCTGGTTAAGCCAAACATTTCAAATAAATATGAGCGACAAAACCCTTTCTTATATATCAGAAATCTCTTCCAAAAGCAGAGTCGATTGTACGATTCCGTGTATGTCATGAATATGTGTTAATGAATCACTATCAAATAGTAATGACATCAGGTGTTCGCGAAAAGGGGAATGTTACCTGCCCTAGCGGTGGCACCCATCACAAACACGAGCAAATGCTAGTCGATTGTCAAAGAGAGAATATATATCCAACCATATATTCTCTCTCTTGTTTTGACCAGAAAGATTGGTTGGTTGGTTGGTTTGTTGTTTAACGCCTCACTCAGCAATATTCCAGCTCTGTAAATAATCTGGACCAGATAATCCAGTGATTATTATCATGAGCATCGATCCACGCAACTGGGATCGATGACATGCATCTATCATGTCAGCGAATCTGACCACCACGTCTTTATGACAAGCATAGTCACCAAACCAGAAGGAAAGGAAGCACAACTGCTGCCCATGACCACCACATGACAAGCACAGTCACCAAACCAGAAAGACGGGAGCACAACTGCTGCCCATGACCACCACGTGACAAGCATAGTCACCAAGCCAGAAAGAAGGGAGCACAACTGCTGCCCATGACCACCACATGACAAGCATAGTCACCAAACCAGAAAGAAGGAAGCACAACTGCTGCCCATGGCCACCACATGACAAGCATAGTCACCAAACCAGAAAGAAGGGAGCACAACTGCTGCCCATGACCACCACATGACAAGCATAGTCACCAAGCCAGAAAGAAGGGAGCACAACTGCTGCCCATGACCACCACATGACAAGCATAGTCACCAAACCAGAAAGTAGGGAACACAACTGCTGCCCATGACCACCACATGACAAGCATAGTCACCAAGCCAGAAAGAAGGGAGCACAACTGCTGCCCATGACCACCACATGACAAGCATAGTCACCAAACCAGAAAGAAGGGAGCACAACTGCTGTCCATGACCACCACATGACAAGCATAGTCACCAAACCAGAAAGAAGGGAGCACAACTGCTGCCCATGACCACCACATGACAAGAATAGTCACCAAACCAGAAAGAAGGGAGCACAACTGCTGCCCATGACCACCACATGACAAGCATAGTCACCAAACCAGAAAGTAGGGAGCACAACTGCTGCCCATGACCACCACATGACAAGCATAGTCACCAAACCAGAAAGTAGGGAGCACAACTGCTGCCCATGACCACCACATGATAAGCATAGTCACCAAACCAGAAAGTAGGGAGCACAACTGCTGCCCATGACCACCACATGACAAGCATAGTCACCAAGCCAGAAAGAAGGGAGCACAACTGCTGCCTATGACCACCACATGACAAGCCTAGTCACCAAACCAGAAAGAAGGGAGCACAACTGCTGCCCATGGCCACCACATGACAAGCATAGTCACCAAACCAGAAAGAAGGGAGCACAACTGCTGCCCATGACCACCACATGACAAGCATAGTCACCAAACCAGAAAGAAGGGAGCACAACTGCTGCCCATGACCACCACATGACAAGCATAGTCACCAAACCAGAAAGAAGGGAGCACAACTGCTGCCCATGACCACCACATGACAAGCATAGTCACCAAACCAGAAAGAAGGGAGCACAACTGCTGCCCATGACCACCACATGACAAGCATAGTCACCAAACCAGAAAGAAGGGAGCACAATTGCTGCCCATGACCACCACATGACAAGCATAGTCACCAAGCCAGAAAGAAGGGAGCACAACTGCTGCCCATGACCACCACATGACAAGCATAGTCACCAAACCAGAACGAAGGGAGCACAACTGCTGCCCATGACCACCACATGACAAGCATAGTCACCAAACCAGAAAGAAGGGAGCACAACTGCTGCCCATGACCACCACATGACAAGCATAGTCACCAAACCAGAAAGAAGGGAGCACAACTGCTGCCCATGGGGATGACTACATCTTGCCTAAATGTCTTACCCTAAAATTGTATAGAAATGTCATTTATGAGGAAGTCAAGCATTTCACGTATTGTTGTCTCAGTCAACTACATATGGCATTGGCTTTTAGTTTTGACAAAATGCCCTGAAGCTTTGAAGATAGATATGTAACTGGGTAATTAGTATATTCTCTGGTCAATACCGTGACTTCTTCATGTTTGTAAATCCATCTATTAGCAAACGTTGCAGGAGTCGTTTAATTTCGATCATTGACATACAGTATAATCCCCATCTAGCCTAGTTTGTAACCATGCTATTTCAAGGCTCTTTTATTGGCTTAATTGTGGCGCCACCACGTATAAAATACGAGTTGTGCCCCTTGTTATGAAAACGTGATATCATGGCTGGTCTTATTTGAATGGCTTCAGAGGGATGACAACCGAAGGAGACGACCTGGTCAATCAGATAGCGAAAAGATCTGAGCTTTCATCCCTGACAGATCACCAGAGTAAAGATACCTTTTACTGCCGCATTTCGCTCTCACAAAAACAGAGGCATTCAGACAGTATCAAGTAACACGCGACAACATGAAAGGCTGAGGTCGTCTAGAAATAGCACTGCTTCTCAGTCAGTGCGATAAGCGTTCAGTCGTTTCAATTACTAAAAACAATAAAGGTTGCACTCACATCTTATAAAATACTTGGGCGAGTTGATTGAACACGTTGAACAACTTAAACAAAATATTTGTCTTAGCTAACTTTTTGGAACCATTGCAGCGCACATTCGACAGGCGATGGGTGTGGCTATAGCAGCGACCTCGTGTTCGGAACACAGATGTTGATTTGGTAAAACGTTCTCTGTTTAGACTGTCATAATGTGCGTTAGGACGCTCATATTTTAGAATAGAAGACTAGGCTTGAGATGGCAAGGGTAATATAGGCTAGTGGACACGGTTGCCTCTGGAAGATGTGTCACCATGATTGCGTCAACTTCTTGGGATGCTGGAAACACTACATTGACTTTGGGTGTTCGTTGGTTAGAAATAAACTGCCAAAGTCCTGTATTTTGTCACTGCAACCATGTGACGGTTCTGGGGTAGAGCTTTCGGTAGCGACTTGTGGATCACTCCCAAAAACCTCCAACCACACAGTTAGTATTATTTAAATTATCAAGAATTATTTCACAAGAAAGAAATACACGGTGAACTTTTATTACATCACAAAGAAAATTATTATTCTTTTAACAGTATTACATTCAGTGAATGATGTTCACAAGGATGATTTTACATACACTTCCATTTATCAATTTATGGAAAAATGGATCTCGGAGTTTCCCATGGCAATCAAACCGGACACTAGGACGTGGATATAAGTGAGAGAGTGAGTTAGTTGGGTTTAACGTCGCTTTTAATCTCGGATTTTCGCAAGGGAATCAATCCGGTCACTTGGTCGTGGATATCAGACACGCAAGACACGAATATATAACTCGTGAATCCGAACTTACATTCCTTAGTCTCGAACAGGCAATGCTTTCTCTCAAGCTTTTCGATTAACGACAACCGATCAAACTGTCAACACAGTGATGTCATACCGGAAGAAGTATCTCGGCTCGAGGATACGGTCGGTTGAACTTCGGGAATTGCATTCCACCAGTGACAGAAGTTATTTTCGGTCGTGTCACAGTTATGTAGGAATATACAAATCATTTAGATATACTAGATGCACTTTTTGTAGCAATGCAATGCGGATTTAAGCCAGTATGCTACAAGAAGTAGTTTCTTGGACCAGACTCACGGATATAGGTGACGTCACACGAACTCTCCCGTTGCCAAATCGAAACAGGTGAGTTGGAACGTATTCACATTTTGTTATTTCACATTAAACAAACAGTCAGTAAGATCAGTGGTGGTATACGTTAATTTATATAGCAATAACGTTTTCGGTTGTACGAATGCATACAACATGTACAGTTTGATTAATATCACTGTCTACTGACAGAAATATACAATTCATATGACGTTACGTTACATAAAAGTAATATCCACATATGCTTGAATTGCCTGATACGGTTTCTTGGTTTGTCAGTCCCTTATCCATGTTCGTGGGCTTCACCAAGCTGCTTATCGACTGAGAGCTGTATTACCATCAAGCCGTAACAGGCAACTACGTTTGTCGTAAGAGGCGACAAACAGGATCGGGTGGTCAGGCTCGCTGACTTGTTTGACACGTCATCGCATCCCAATTGCGTGGATCGATGCTCATGATGTCAATCACTGGATTGTCTGGTCCAGAATCGAATATTTTCAGACCGTCATCATACATATACAGATATAAACGACAAACAAAGTAAAGTAGAGTAAAGTATTACCTCAAAAAACTGTTCAATGCGTCATTTAACCCAACTCACTCAAAGACAAAGGATTTTCTCCACTGCAGACTGTTCTGCATATTTAATAGTAATCAGGGGATACATCCAATGCAAGTTTTGAGGAGACAGATTTACACACAAATTATCGCTTTTGCATTGTCTTCGATCCATCATCAACCTTTTATATTCATCATCGTTACATTAGGCAGCACAGTTTCTTGTTGAGAACACCCAGCCGTCCACTTCTGTTTCACGGTAAATCCCATTAACATCGAGATAGCCCACTTCTTGCAGAGAACACCTGCCATCACTGAGTTTCATGTCTGTGCTCACACAAACATACGTGGTCTGTGTGACGCATGCTGTGACGCACTCTTCAGGGGTGAGGCCGTAGGAAGTGATGGTGTTATGACCAGTAATACCAAGTCCAGGATATTTGGTCATATCAAAGCCATACTCCGAACACACTGAAGACATAAAAGAAAACACTGTTATGTAAGGTATAAAATCTTCAAACTTATTTATACGTCGTGCTCTACCCGGAGCATATTACTGACAAGTAACGTTTATGTTTTATGTAAGCCACAAAGAGGTCAATGCTATACAGAAAAAAACAACCGAATTACATTCATGACAGACTCACCTCTGACGCAAGTGGCGCTTGTCGGACTGTTACTGTAGCCGGGAGTACATTTGCATGTCCCCTCGTAGCAGACTGACATGGTCACAGAATAATCCGCATTGTTCTTACATTCATCTCCAATTGTTCCGGTCTCTACAAAAGATGAAATAAGTTAGTTTGAGACTGGTGTCAACGTAAACATACATATACACACACTCACACACACGCATACACACATACGTACACACACACGCTGAACTGACTGACATTCATAACAGACTCACCGCTGACGCAAGTGACGTTTGTCGGACTGTAACTGTAGCCGGGAGTACATTTGCATATCCCCTCGTAGCAGACTGACATGGCTTCGTGACAGTCCGCGTTGTTGTTACATGCAACTCCGATTGTTCCGGTCTCTGCAAAAGGTGGAATATGTCTGTGTGAGACTGGTGTAACGTAGATAAAATACAGACATGCATGCGTGAATATATACATACATAATAGTAGATACATACATGCATGCATGTATACATACATACATACATAGACACACATTCACACACGCATACACACATACGTACACACACGCGCGCATACACACACACACACACACACACACACACACACACACACACACACACACACACACACACACACACACACATGTACATACACTACTGCCTTGAAGTTCATTCCCGTAACACGCTTTGAGAATGCGTGTAACACGCATGTGACACGTGAGCATGCGTTGGTCACTCGCTGCACACGCGTGTGCCATGCATATAACAGTGAACTGGGTTTCAGTTGAAGTCCGCAAATATATCAAATGAATAGTGAAATAAAACAAAACAGTGAGATGTGAATCTTGAGTTATTGAGCGGCCATTGACCTGTGTTCACAAGACCATAAACACAAGGTCGGCCCTAACTAGTGTTAGGGTGCTTGACGCAGATTTATTGCTACAGGAACCCCCGAGTTGACAGGATTTTGATAGAATTTTGGATCTTCCCAATCGCCGGGTGAGACCATGTAGACAGAATCTCGTTAGGGTTTGTGATTTTTACATTTGCCCAATGACCATAGTGAGTATTACTGGGGATTCAAAGGTGACAGTTTCTTATTAGAGGAAATTGGTTGTGAGTACTTATACCATGTAGATAGGATATCTTTAGGCTTTAATCCTTTCTTTCTCTGTGGGTAATCCTTTCACGTTGATGGAAGGAAGTCACTCAACCTGGTCAGGACAATGGTTATGTTCAAGGCTCGCGATCATGAAAAAATCACTAGAGGTGTTGATGGAGGCTGGACATGCAGCATACAGCATTTCGAGTGTAGGCTGGCGTCTCGTCTTTGTTTCACTCGGTATTTGAAACTTTGATATACAAGGCTACGGCCACCACGCCATTCACAGGTACATTTGTCTATTTACAATGAAGTTGTTTAGCGTTCTCAGTGTTTATATACTATCTCACTGATTAGTTGTTAACTGGTCACTGCAACGTGCCTTAATTATTTCAATTTCAGTAAACTGGGTTTATTCACATGTTAGCTTTCATAGGTTGTAATTGATACTTGTAAAATCCTCAAATGAGTTTACTCACTTACTACTGTGTTACTACTAGCGTTTTTAGCATGACGTCAGTGCTTGCATCAACACAGTAACTGCTAAAAGCGGCGTAAAACCATGCTCACTCACTCACAGTAACTCTTAATCCCATGCAGTGTGCTAGGAAAGTGAGGATATGAATCTCTGTGTCAAAGATGACCAAACTAAGTTAGAATCCTTGTTTATCTGTGACATCTTCCAACTGTTGACTTGTTAGTAAACTTGATGAGTGATGATGAAGTTGGATATTCATATTATTATAGTTTATGAAAGGTTTGTGAAAAGACCTTTTTATGAAATTATGCTCCACTCTCGAGAAAAATATATTGTCTGCGAGAAAGTTTAAATGTCATGTCACATCAGCATTTTTTCAGATATATTGCAGCGAAATAATTGCTATCCTCTTGGACTACATGTAACATGGCTGCTTTTACATTTCATGCTTGACTGCCTCGGTAGTTCATGATCAATTAGATTTTTAACTGTGTAAACAAACCAGTCAAGTTTGCAACAGTAGATAAATTTGGACCGCAGTTACCGATTAACAACTTAAGACATAAATACAGGGAGTCGATATATAACCAAAGTTATGGTCCTGTCGAGACGATTGACAATTAGAACCGTGCAGTAAATGACAGTAACTAATTTGAACATTCCTCAGTAATGTCATAAAATACGTCATTACCCATAATAGTCCAAAAGACAGCTTCCAGCTTTATTGTAGGGTCAATCGCTTTTGACATGTTTAAACTCACTTTAAGGGACATGCCAAGTCAAAACTGGCCGCCCTGATAGTGTTCTTAGGTTTGACAGCAACGTGGACTTCAGAGATAGATATGACTCGTATTAAATGAAACATCAATAATTATTAATAATGGATAAAATTAACTATAGCCCGGGAGGATATTCAAAAGGTATAGGAGCAATAGAAAAACGAGCCACTGCGGCTGAGGTATCTGAAGATGTAGCCAAGGATTGGTTAAAGAAACAAGCGATATGGCAAATATACTTACCGGCCCCGCATTCTACAGCAAGGCAAAACGTTTTTAATATTTTCACAACAAATGAAGTTCATCACACTGACCTACCATGTTTCTCCCATGAGAAGGTAAGACGAAACACATATAAGTACACTTTAACCACAGTAGATGTAGCTAGTCAACCATCAACCTCCAAAGATTCAACAGAAGTAGCTAATGCACTGAGCCGCATATATAAACGCGGACCATTAAAATGGCCCAAGTTATTTAAAGTAGATCCTGTTCGCGAGTTTATGGGATCAGTTATTAAACTATTAACAAAGCACGATGCCGAAATAAGGCGTGGTGAAAAAGAATCCCACCGTATTCAAGCTAATTTTGAAAGATTTCACCGAACATTAGCTGAACGTTTCTTTGGATATCACTATGTGATTGAAATGAAATCGGATTGATTAAGATCAACGAAATGGGTGACAAGATTATCAGCACTAAATAAAGAAGTAACGAGATTAATGAGGAAGAAACCATCCGATGCAATTAAAATTATATCTGTGACTTCCGTATCATCACCTTCGAGGACTGGTAAAGAACAAAAACTTCCGGATAGAGTGGGCGTAAGATATTTATACCCGCCCGGTGAGCTCGATAAGGTCAACGTCGTGCAACCGATCCGATTTGGTCTCTTAAGATATATAACATAAGTCGATTGGTTATGAAAGAAGGCGAGCCTATTCTATATTATCATCATGATGGACCAGGCAGGGGATTTGTAAGAGTTGCTGATATACTCAACAACAAAAGTTCTTGTGACACCAATATTTTAGTGTATTTTTCAAACGAGTAAAGTTTGGTTTTCAGTATTGTAGTGCATGTATGGAATCAAGTCACAAAAACGCAACTGCTACAGAAAAACATGCATTCCATGCAAAAGTTGACTTTTATGCAAGCCCCATGCATTTCATTAGCCAAGAATTGGTATAAGAACATGTGCGTACACGGGATTCCATATGCATTGTTTAGCATCGTGCTGACAACAACCACTCAGAAAAACAACATAATTACACAATTATTCAACTTTACGAAATGCCACGCCAGTCCGAAAAGCCGAGCGAGCCATTCGTATGCTTGAAGCAGGATCGAGTCAATGTGATGTTGCAAGACAATTTAACGTCCACAGAAACACAATTTAGTGTTTATTGCAACGTTGGCAACAGACGAATGCAGTCAGAGACCTTCCTCTGACTGGCAGGCCACGCGTAACAAAATCGACATGACAACTGGATTCGAACAACACACCTACGAAATCGATTCCAGCCAGCAACAGTGACTACATAGAGCATCCCTGGCCTTCGACGAATATCTTCACAAACCGTACGTCGTCGCCTCAGATGTGCATGTATTGTCGCCAGAAGACCCGCCAGGCGTCCCATTTTGACAGGAAACCAGCGATGGACGGATTCGAGTGTACCGACGACGAGGTGAACGTTACGTCAATCATTGTGTCATGGAAGAAGAGCGGTTCGGGGGCAGCAGCGTTATGGTATGGGCTGGGATTACAGCAAGACAGAGGACCCGTTTTATAGTGGTAGATGGAAATCTCATTGGACAGCGCTACCGCGACCAGATCATCGGTCCTGTTGTTCTACCGTTTTTGCGTCGACATGGCCCAGGCATTACCTTTCAACATGACAACGCCCGGCCGGATATTGCTCGACTTGTTCAGGATTCTCTTCAACAAAACAACGTGAATGTCATCCCCTGGCCGACTCGCTCCTCTGATCTCTCACCAATCGAGCACAAGTGGGATGAGATGGATAGGCACCTTCGAAGTCAACCACGTGTTTCACAGACACTCGAGGAACTTTGAAACATGCTCTAGCAGATATGGACGGATATCCCACAGGACTTTGTGCGACGCCTGGTCCATTCCATGAGACGACGATGTGTTGCTTGCATCGCAACCAGAGGTGGAGACACACGCTATTGATTTGTAAATTGACTTTTTGGCATGTTCATGTTTTTTTATGAAATCACACATTTTCTGAAGTCAGTAAATCAAACCATTTGAACACTTACAGGAGTCTTTTATCAGTTGCAAACCGAAATTGCTTCAGACTTGGTAAAAACGTAACTTGCGCTAAATCTTATTCAATGTCACAGGAACTTTTGTTGTTCAGTATAGTTGCCAGTGATACAGTGTTACCGCCATAACCATAATCATAAGTAGTTACACCATCCTTATCAATCCATCTCTTTGTATCTAAGGGGGATTATGATGTCTTCATTCATTAATTCATTCTTAATCCATATATCCTGTGATTAACACTTCTTAAAGTGTTCATCTCGTGTTTGAATGTTCTACTATTGAATAATGCTCCTTTATACTATTCGTGTTTGATATGTTTTATTACGACATACTTCTTGACGCCCTTAGTTTTTCTTATCTCCCCATTATCAGACATCTTTATAGAATACATATCAGGTCTTAATCATTCATACTCAGCAATAGGAGTTCCAGCACATTCAACCTTCATCTTACCTAATACCTTTATATTTACCGCGCTGTGCAGTGGATGATTATCTTTTGGGTAATCGCTCGTATCGTACATATCTATCTTTTTTTTGCCATATCTTTATACACATCCTCGGTTTGTATTTCCATCAACAACCAATCAGTATCGGTATATAACACCTCGCGTCCATCAACGTGTTCCTTCTTTAGCTCTTTGTAATAAAACTAATAGATTAGACAAGTCAAGAATACTCTTACTAACGTACACCAGTCTGTTGAATTTATATCACTCTTCTGCATATGTAATGTCGCTAAGTC